TGTATTATCACAGGCACAGCTCAGTGTGATTGTGTCTAAACAGGGAATCACATCCAGATCAATGTCACTGAGACAGGTGGTATGATGTTTGGTCACTGGTTGCTTGATAATATGTCACATGTCACCTAAATTAGGGGCCATTTTTTCATTGTGAAAGTATAAGAGTTGTTTCTTTTATGACATGGTTGGGAACTGGTTTTCAGGCTCCTTCCCTCCTCAGCAGAGATCAGTACCATCTGTAACACCACAAGAAGACCAACTGGTCTGATGAGCATTTGTTTTCATTTCTTTTTTCCTGGCATCAGTTGACATCATTCCTGAGTGAATACATTTGATTGTTTAACCAATACCAGCTGTTTCATATTTTATATTATCCTGTTGTCTTACTGTGCCTTTATTATTCATTACGAAACCTAAAGCATTCTTAAGCAGTCTCCTCACATTCTTACACCCTCATCTGACTGGCATTGCCCAACCTTAGCGTGATTAATCGGGTCAGGAGATCACGTTGTATACAAAAGCTGCCTCCTCCCAGGGTAATTTGCTTCTGTTCACGTCTTTATTCATGTGGCTGTGTGAGATCATCATGGTGTGAAAGACCCAGAAAGGTTTGAAAGACTGACGCCATCACCAGTGGCGAAAATGAAACCACCATTAATTGTCTCAGTAAGGTGCTGTTCCAACCTGAACCACAGAACAGCTTCTTGGAATAGTTTCTAATCAAAGGTGGAATGAACAGCATTCTTCCAAAAGATATTTCCTCATTTGAGGTTTTAAAGCAAACACAATGAAAGATTTGGTGTCTCCAGTTGCAGTAACACGGTGGTAAACATAGACAGTTGGTTATGATTACATTAATTATGAGTCGACAGTTGGTAACAGCCAGACATCAAGTGAGTGCAACAACATAAGACATAGCAAGCAGCTGATATTACTGACTAGTCTAACAGCAGCTCGCCGTCTGCCACTCCCATTCACTCTTGCCCGGTGGTGTCGCTCTCATTTTTCTCTTCTTAGCTAATGGCAGCGGTGAAGGCGCTGAAGAGGACGTGGGAGGAAACTGTGTCCATAAAAGCTGGTGAGCCTGACCGGTTACATTGACTGCTCGCCCAGCTCCGGTTCTGATACTACCATCGCTGCTCTCCATCAGCGTTCCTCCACCCTGTCGCATGAAAACTTCTCCCTCTGCCACCCAAAGGTCCTTCACTCTCCCACTGCTCTTAGCACCCAGTCCCCCAACTGTAAATCCCAGAGAGTGGAGGCAGAGCAGCCGTAAAATAAGATCCAGTTTCACCAAAATCTGTGACACAGTGTGTGACTTCCATTCTCCACTCATTTATTCCTTTGTCACCCAATTGTACAAACTCCAACTTTAAATGTTCTCCAAAGATATTTGTTGAAGCTGATGCTGAGCACCGTACCAGTTATTTATTTATGTGTTTATTTGTTTATTGTTGAACTTTTGACTCTCTCTGCTCCGCACTGTTCCCGTTACAGCGGCCATGTGTCCTACAGTTTATGCTGGTTTTCTCATAAATATTCATTCAAATATCGAAGTTTTATTTTATTATTTTATCACCATCATAACACAATAAAAAATTTGATCACAAAAAAGAAAATACATATATTATAAATATAATAAGAGTTTATGTACATTAAAATACAATATATGGCAATATACAGAATATAGAAATAAGGGAATAGGTATACTACAGTATATGACTTAACTAAACTGTAATAATTTGTACTGATAAATTAATGTTGAGAGCTGAATCCTTTACAAATGCAGTATAGTGACAGAATAAACTAGTATTTCACGTTATTGCCAGTTTAATGACAGTGAGTCAGACAGTCAGACTCTCTGAGGGAGTGTCAGACTCTCGTGGAAGACTTTTAATCATCTTAATAGTTCATAATTGCTCATCACTCACTGATATTATTTTGGCATTGTGTATTAGAAATTGAATAGTTGTATTACATTATAATACTTTTATAATGCTCTATAATCACTGTTGTGGTGCACCAGACATTATAGAAAGAGATTTTCTTTTAGATAGCCACTACATCAGCAATATTCATCGTCTGTAATAACAATCTAGTTCCTGCGTCTCTGTTTCATCCACACTCAGCACATCAGTAAAGATAATAAAATATTGATGACTACATGAGATTGAACTTTTAGTTTCACCTTCAGTGGGCTATGTGAACTATTCAAGTGAAGTGGAGCATTATGTTGCCTCGCCCTACATACATCCAGATAATCGCTCATGTTCAGGTTTCTCACAGCTTTCATTGATGCCAAATGACACTTGAGCACTGATAAGCCTACTGGAATTATGTAGTATTTATCTATGCGTATTTACTTCCTTGTAGATTTAGCCTGAGAAACAGACCGGCAGAGTGTATTAAGCACAGGTTTGTGACCTGAAACCTTCCATTTAAAAACAAGCTATAAACAATCCAAAGCACAGCCTCATAATGAAAGTTAATGAGCAGAGGACCAAGATGTTCACATGCCATGTAGGCAGACATGATCCTGAATGCTAATATACTGGTATAAAGTATACTATAAACTGGTCTGTGATGATCAGCTTCTTTATATATGTATATATAAATGTTATGCAGCAATATCAACGCGAGAGGTATCTGTGCATTTGAGGTTGGAGTAAAACATCCTGGCCTTCTGACCTGAACTCAGTTTAAAGTCACATGAATCATCACCTGACAAGCAGGTCAAACCTGGGCAGGAGTCAAAATTTTCTTGTTACAACAGAAGCTTTGTCTAAGTGTTGAAGTGACTATTGTCCTACTGTCAGCGTTAAAAGCACCAAATTCCAGATCCCAGCCACCCTCTCAACTCATGCTTCACCCTTCTTCCATCTGGCCATAGATACAGACAGCTGCTCTACAAAAAGGCACGCTTTGGAAAAAGTTTTGTACCCTGCGCTATAAGAGCGTTGAACTCACAGACAAATTAATGATGTGACTCCCGTGTTATATGTGCATATATGTGTATACTGTCTGTATATGTGTACTATGTGTAGTTTGTACAAAGAGCACCTTCAAGTTCTACACACAGACTGTCGTGGAGCTCAGTCCTGGTTCTCTCTCCTGCCTGAGACCACCATTTGGGTTTAGTTTGACCGTTACAACGCAGCACTTCTCCACTCATGCACTCACCTACAACCGCTGATCTCACTGGTTTCACATGCTTGTTTAAGTTTTCTTTTTTTTTCATCTTTTCATAAATTAATCATTTGTTAATTGGCTTGGTGGTGTGCGTCTGCCTCCTTCGTTGTGGCTGTGCGGCTCAGTTTGTGACATAAAATCTTGATAAAACAAGAAAAACATCTAGGAAAGAAAGATGCTTTAAGAAGATAAAAATTCAGGTCAAATCAGGAATATTAAATTCCCAAAATATCAAATATTTGAAATATAAGAAAAGTGCAATAAGTGTAAACATCTTACACACACACACACACGCACACACACACACACACACTAATCCCTTTAGCTTTCACGTTGTCTGCCTGGAGTTTACTGTGTTTTTGGAATGACTCCAGAAGTGATTCCTGACAGCTCCTTTTGTCTTTCTGCCCCTGCTCTTCTTCTTCATATGGATTTCCAGCAGTTTAGACCACAGACATGTCTATGGTTTAGACGCTTAAGGTCTATTACTGCCCTCCTCAGGAAGTCACTTTAAGGATAATGTTACTGCTTCAAATGTTCATATGTAGCCCTGTATCGTGTAAGAACTGAAATACTACTTTAACAATCAAGTGGTGGTTCTCATTTTGACCCAATAATCCTTGTGCTCTTTCGTATGGTGCTTTTTTAAATGTTTGATTGCGTTCGTAGTGTACGACGCGAGGGAGCTTCCTCCTCTCTGAATCACCATTCCACAGTTTGCGGCCAGCTAGCAGACTGGCCGGCAGGAATCACCTGTGGAGTCATTTCAGCAGACAACGTTAACGCAGACATGGCTCATGGATATCGGATGTCTCCGCAGGTTGGATCGGGAAAATCCGATACGTGAATTGCGCTGGTATCGGTCCCGATACCAATACTGGATCGGATCGGCCCCATCCCTAGTTCCAAGCAGACTATTTGTTTATATGTATTAATAAAATGTTTGGAGGGGAACTTTAATTTAATAGTTTACGGTTCTTACAGCTAGATTGAAAGAAATGTGATAAATAACTTATTTACTCACCTTTCAATGCAACCATGTCAGTTTAAAAAGTTGTCTGTACATACATATGTACCAACCTGGGGGTTAGGACCCCCACTAGGAGTCACCAAAGCTACACAGGGGCCACAATGCCTTCTTAATCTTAAGAAAATGTGTTATATTTAAAGTTTAAGTTATTGTTTGAGATCTAAGCTATGAAGACCTGAACACAAGCTATACTCACAGTCTTCACTTATAAACAGCCTCATCGTGCATTAGAAAAGTGTGCAGTTAAAACAACAAAGAGCTAATAAACCAAGCGTTAGGGAGAAATAAACACCAGTGTGTATGATTGTTGAAAAAATAAAATATATATATTGTACACAATTATATTAAAAGTTCCTAAAAATATCAGAAAAACTCATCTCTGATCAATATTGACAGGAAAAAATCAGAATTCATCCAAACTTCCTGCAGGTATTGAGTTCACTGGTTCATTGTACAGTTTATCAGCTACTCTCCACTGTTATTTTTATGCACTGAATATAATATTCAGGGGTCATCAGGTTCATCAATAGAAAAGGAGTCCCTTAAAGAGAAAGGATGGGACAGAATTCATTGTTTCAGTTTCAATTCCCCAACATTCGTTATGTTTCATTATCGTGCTATGTGCTCTGCAGTATAGAATGATTTTATTCACTTTGTTTATTCAGTGAAACCAGTTTTGCAGCTGGCCTTTTGTTCTGAAAACATGTGCACATACCATTAAACTTGGCAGGACTGGCACCAGCTTCTCCAGCCTACCTGTAACTGTATATAAGGATGCTGCTGCAGGTGGATGTGAGAGGCAGAGGACAGAGTTTGATGCACCATGGCTTCCACACTGGCGCTCCTGCTTCAGCTGCTCCTGGTCTCACTGGCGTCTGCATCACATCACTTTGGGGGAACCGTGACCTTCACCTACAAAGGAAGAAACCCTGATGGCACATTTAAGGTGAGTGACTTTTAATGATATCTATATGGCTTTCCAGTGTTGTCGCCATCACTGTCTATATTCCTCACAGTGGTCTTCATCATCATCATCATCATCACTGTTTACATTTATGATGTCTTATTTATTCTCCTGTACAGCACTTTGGTCAACTTTGGTTGTTTTTAAAGTGCTTAACAAATAAAGGTGGATTGTATTGAATTCTTTTCTCCTGGAATGTGAGGGGCCCATCTGGTGCCTCTCGAAACCCCCCCTCGATCTTCCTCTATACATTGCACATCTTTATTAGAACTGGATGTTTTTTTTTCTATTTTCTTTAAAAACAAGAGACCTATAAAGGTCTAAGTTTGATGCAGATAAGACAGAGTTGTATTTGGCTGAATGCTCTCCAAGTTCTCGAGTGCTTGTATTGATGCTGAACTTTTTTTGTGATAAACCTTTTTATATATACGATCAAGACGGTGTCAGTGGACTTCTCTTGAATACATCTTCACATCATCGCTACTTAATATACAACAAAAACAAAATACACAGAAATGTAATTTACAGAACATACAACACTCGCTGTACAGTTCAACTCTTAATCAATCGTATCTTTTTCCACAGGTGGACATTCGCAACAGGGCGACCTACGATGGGTGTCAGTATTCCCACAGCTGGAATTGCTACTCCGGCAACTGTGGCCAAAATACCAGATATCAGAGAGGCGTACTTGACAGGAGCACCAATGCACCACAATATAACAGCCAATGGTGTGAAACTGAAACCGTCATTAGGAGAAATGTCCCCAGTGACAGACCTTTTCAAATGAGGTGAGCTGTTTGTGTTACTGAAATCATATTAATATTCTTGCTGCTGTTCGTATTTATTGAATGAAGTTTGAGGTGAATCATCTTATTCATTATCTGTGCTTAAAGGTCCAGTGTGTAGGATTTAGTGGCATCTAGTGGTGGAGTTACAGATTGCAACCATTTAAAGACAGTTCAGCCTTCCAAGTGTGTAGGAGAAACTACGGTGGCTGCGAAACTCAAGAAAAACACAAAAGGTCCAAGAGCCAGTGTTTGGTTTGTCCGTCCTGGGCTACTGTAGAAACATGGCGGTTTAATGCTATAATATGAAACATGTTCTATATGTAGTTGAGTTGTGTATTTAAATTATCACAAATGTTTCCAACAATGTTCAAGCTGAGCTAACGTTAGCAGCAGCTCGGCTCGCAGTCCCTCCGGGACGTCCTTTGTCTGTCCAAAAGCGTGGGAGAAGCAGTGGGAGGAGACCTCTGTGGATAATTCAACTCCCATGATCCCACGCTACTTCACAACATCATAAAACTTTGTTCTTGTTACTGTTTTGATGTCAGAGACCCCCTAGTGGTAGAAATAAAAAAAAAACTAAGGTACCAAAAACACATTGATTCTTACTTTCAGGCGATTGAACACTAATGAAAACATACCTCTGAATATTATATTCCTGCCAATAGATCCTCCTCAGTGTGACACACTGGACCTTCAGTTGCATGTTCAGTTGTATTTGCTGTTGGTAAGATGCTTTTTTTCAAAAGTGTTGTTTCCTCACGTACCAGTGCTGCTAGCTGTTGTTGGATCCCGACTCGTAACTCGGTTGATAATTGGAATCTACTGACACATGTGGATTTGGGAACAAGATCTGACACTGGAAAACCAAACAGATCACCGGACATTGCCATTCTACCTTTCCTACGGTAAGTCCCCTGCAGTTTACACGAAGACTAACCTTTAATCATTTTATTTAAAAACCTGAGGAAAAGTTCCTACTTTGCTGTCCCCCAGTGGTCGTACAAAAGAGACATTGTGGCAGCCAGATAGCTACAGGAGTCCAAAACTACTGAAATGAATGTCCTGAATAATAATAATTTAATATTATTACAATGCAAGTCTTTATAAAACTCTTGTTTATATACTCAAATGTTTATAATCATATGTGACAACTTGTAAGAAGGTTTACAAATGTAACAAATGTCAATAAAGCAATATGAATGATAAACATAATATACATTATAAACCTCATAAGTGCTAATGCATTGCTAAATGTTTTAATAAAGCAATGTAAATGAATTATAATGTCTTATGATTGTGCTTATAATGTATTACATGACCTTAATAGAAAGTTTTATCCTGTTACTAACTGTTGATGTGTCTATTAAAGAGTGCCTCAGAACTGCCCACGGACATACAAGCTGATTTCCTTTGATCCTGATGGTGACCAAGTCCGATGCAGATATGGAAATAATCCAGGAACAGAGTGCAGCAGGTGTGACCAACCTTCAGGCTTCCACTTAGATCAGGTTAGTTGAAGTTTCTTAATACGTTGTACAATACTGGACTGATGCTTTGCCTCACTAAGCTACTTATTCTCCATACTGTTAGGGCTCTTGCACATTACACTACAACTACGCCAGTGCCAACCCCAGCGTTTATGGATTTGAGATGGTGGTGGAGGACTTCCCTAAAAGAAGCATCACTGTGGCCTACACCGACGGATCCACATCCCTCAGGGCTCCACTGTCTATGAGGAGAAAGAGAGCAGCTCCCACATACTCGTCATGGTATCCCACAACCACTGCACCAGCACCAACCACAATCCCATGGTGGTGGCATACTACAACCACAACACCGACCACAACAACAGCCCCGACCACAACCGCAGCACCAACCACAACCCCATGGTGGTGGTGGTACACTACAACTGCAGCACAGACCACAACCCCATGGTGGTGGCATACTACAACCACAACACCGACCACAACAACAGCCCCGACCACAACCGCAGCACCAACCACAACCCCATGGTGGTGGTGGTACACTACAACTGCAGCACAGACCACAACCCCATGGTGGTGGCATACATCAACCGCAGCACCGACCACAACAACAGCCCCGACCACAACCGCAGCACCAACCACAACCCCATGGTGGTGGCATACATCAACCACAGCACCGACCACAACCACAGCACCGACCACAACCGCAGCACCGACCACAACCACAACCACAGCACCGACCACAACCACAGCACCGACCACAACCACAACCACAGCACCGACCACAACCACAGCACCGACCACAACCACATCACCGACCACAACCGCAGCACCGACCACAACCACAACTACAGCACCGACCACAACCGCAGCACCGACCACAACCGCAGCACCGACCACAACCGCAGCACTGACCACAACCGCAGCACCGACCACAACCACAACCACAGCACCGACAACAACCGCAGCACCGACCACAACCACAACTACAGCACTGACCACAACCACAACCACAGCACCGACCACAACCACAACTACAGCACTGACCACAACCACAACCACAGCACCGACCACAACCACAGCACCGACCACAACCCCATGGTGGTGGTATACTACAACTACTCCAGAACCTACTACAACCACCCCAATCTACACTACCACCACGACACACCTGCATGCCTCCACTGCTCCTCTCAGTAAACTACCTTTGCAGTTCTCTTTACTTGGTAAGTGATGTTTTACTTATCCTAATAATTGTTTGACCACATTTTAATTAGCTAATTCACACTTAATCACTTTAAACACCACCTTAATGTGTAGAACATGCTTTACAAGATTATTTTTTGTTTTCGAGAAACAAGGATTTTTTTTTACTAGTGTGCAGTTGGAATTTAAGGTCATCTTTCTTTTTTTAACTCCAGTGGACCCAGCTGCTCCCTCGTGTCAAGAGGGACTCTACCTGCCAAAGTTTGTGTCCCCAACACCTAAAAACGGAGAACACATCCAAGCAGAGGTCAACAAAGAAGTGGAGATAAAAGTCAAAGCCCAAGCTTCATACGCAACGTAAGTGAAAAGCAACATGATCAAAGTGGCAGCAAAACATTCTCATCATTTCAGCAAGTGAGATAACATCAGCATCATCGAGGAAATCTCTGGTTTACTTTCGTACAGAATACACGATATCATCATCAGTGGACCGCTGAACATCAGCAAACACAAGCACCATGACGAGTTTGTCATTCGCTGGACGCCTACCGTAGATGACCTGGGAGATCATTACGCAATCTGCTTCGCTGTTGAAGCAGTGACAGGGTGAGCCGAGGGTTCATTTCGTTAACCACAGAATTAGTATGTGTGTGAGTGTAAAACCATTATTTAACTTTTCACATATTTTGCAGGGCTGCTGTGACCGGCTTTCAACCCACACACCATTCCCATTACCACCCCACCCCAACCTCACAGTGAGTAACATTCCTCTGTGTTTGGTGTTTTTTAGGAACAAATGAGGAACCTATGAAACTGCCAAGATTTAAAAGACTTTATAATTATTCAGTATTGACTTTATTAATGACAAATCAGAAGTGTTTGGTAATAAGTAACTTTTTCCTTATTACTTGTCTAAAAAGTAATCATATTACTTAAATTATTACCTAGTATAGTTACGTTACTTATATTACTATCACAATTATTAACATTAGAGGAGGAGTCAACTGAAAACTAAAAGCATTGCAGCCTATTGAACCTGGTGATGGTACAGCATATATTGTGTATATGTAAATATTTCATTTATTTTTATTTACTTTAATGTTTCTGCAAGCAGGCTGTTTTATTATTTTTACTAATCATTAAAGGTTGCTTAACACCACAGGCTGAACAAAAACATTCTGGGAACACAGTAATGTGACTTAGTTACTTTGATTAATAACTGAAATGTAACATTGCAAATCGTTATTACTCTCATCAGTTAAAGTATTAAAGTGCTCACTGATGCTTTCCAGGTCTGGCATCTATCAGTCTGAGATGAGGTGTGTTGTAGTGGACATTGGGAAGAAACAAGGTGAGTGCTACTTCACTGTCAACATTTTGTGTAAACCTTGTTACAAAACAAAAGTCTGGATCATCCATTGTAAGCAAAAGTCTTCCCTCACACAGAAATACCAGCAAGATTCTTTATTCATATTAACTGAAACCTATCCACTTAGAGCTGAAGCACAATTTGAATAATATATTTCTTTATAGTTTCCTTGAAAGAAACAGTCATGTTCAGTGGTGCAATCTAACTCCAGTACATCTCAGAGGCAAATGTTGTACTTTTTACTTTCATTTGATCTGACCTTTCCTTTCTTCTTCTTCTTCTTCTTCCTTTTCTTGGCTGGCACACTGCTGCTTTTCTTGGCATCCATGAGTGTGGGTGTGCATAAGATAAACAAAACTCGGTTTTAGAAAAACAGCTCCCTGGAGCTACTAGAGGTCTAAAACTCCACAGGGAACCTTTAAAGCTGACTTTAGCCATTTTGACCACTAGAGGGCAGAGAAACACCACACAGGGCTAATACACTATCATATTTACACACTTACTGATCAGGTTGACAAATGAGGATGAAAGGAAGTACTGCAAGCCAAGAAGCATAAATAGGAAACATTTAACATTTAAACATTTAAACAAATATTATAAAGACACAGGGAACCTTTAAAGCTGACCACTAGAGGGCAGATACACTCCACTCAGGGCCGATGTATTACACACTTACTGATCAGATTATCAGGTTGGTGTAATCATGGCCATCCATCCATAAATGATTACTATCTACTTACAGCAGATAAATAGCAACTATGCTACTGCATTAAGTTACATATCGATGTCAAAAATATTGCTTCTATCACACAATATCTTTGAGAAAATATGCAGTTTTCAGGATAAACGTGTATAAATGGTTAAAATGTATATATATATATATATGTCTTGCTCTAGTTGAAGCCAATGTGATTTGCACGGAGTCTACAATGAGGGTCGAGGTTGAGAAATCTTCATTTGCTGGACTCCACGAGGATCATTTGCGGCTTAGTGACTCCACCAACAACGACTGCAGCCTCCAGAGACACTCCAACAGCACTCACATCATCGCTGTGATCCCGCTCAACGCTTGTGGCACTCAGATTGAGGTACCGCAGGGTCACTTGCTGTGTTGCTTTTCCTTTTCATTAGCACTGAATTAGACCTGAATATGTGACATTTTATTCTGCAGGAAGACGAAGACAACCTAATGTTCAAGAATGAAATCACCACAGTCGACAACAGCGCTGACCTGATCACTAGGAAACACCTGCTGGAAGTGCAGTTCTACTGCCAGTACCCCAAACGGGGGAATGTGACACTGGGGTTCACAGCACACAGGAAGAACATCACAGTCTGGGAGAAAGGCTTCGGCACATTCACATACCAGTTTGAGTTTTATCCCAACGGCCAATTCGAAACCATGATTGATCCGGATTCATACCCTCTGGAGTATGACATAGGGGACAGGATTTACATGCAGATAGAGGCCACCTCCTCCTCAGTCAACAACACCGAGCTGTTCGTGGAGTCCTGCACAGCTGCACCATATGACAACCCCAACTACTGGCCAACCTACCCCATCATTGAGAATGGGTAGGCTTGAGTGCACCCCCTAGTGGCAACAGAGGACATAACAAATTATTTGTAAAGATTTGGTTTTAGCTTTTATAAGAGAGGGTTGTAACTAAATTGTCTGAAGGTGTGAATGAGTTTGAATAGTTGTCTATCACCTTTGATACACCTTCAGTAGGATCATCAGCACCTGTAATGGCATCCATTGCAAGGTATCGAGTTACTTATGTTTTCTTTCTTTTTGTTTGTGCTCTGAATAGGTGTAAAGTGGACTCAACTGTTAAAATCCATTCCTCCGATCACAAGGGCCAATTCAGGTTCTGTGTGGAGGCCTTCAAGTTCATCGGCTTGCATGACCAGGTGAGGAACAAATAAATACAACTACATTTAAACTTTTATTTTAAAAAAAACCCCATGAATTTCTTATCATTTGTATTTACTTGTAAGTCGAAGACACTAGCAGGTTTAATCTTCTATGTGGGATCTGTCTATAACTCCGTTTGTCTGCTGATGTAATGACGGCGTGTCCTGTTGCATTCAGGTGTACATCAGCTGTTCAGTCATGATGTGTGAAGCAGGGGACTCCGGCACCAGGTGCTCGCGGGGATGCATCAACTCCACATGGTCAGGCGGTCACCATCACCGCCGAAAGAGAGAGGTTGTCAGCCAGACTGCAAGGCACCTGGTTTCCCAGGGTCCTCTCCGCCTGAAGAGATCGGCAGAGCTCACCGAAAGCCCAAGTATGAAAACAGGAAGTGTTTTTCTTAACAGCCAGCTGACTTGTTTGAGACTGAATTCTAATTACGCTTCTTTTTTTCTCCAGTGAACCTGAACCTGAATGTGAACCTGGTGTTCATCGCTGGATGTCTTCTTGCAGCTGTTGGTATGATCAGTGCAGTGGTCGTGTACAAAGCCAAAGTGTCAGGGGTCAAATACCAACCTCTGCCCGTATTCGAAAGTTAAGACAGCAGCATGAGCAAAATACCAATCCAGAATTATTGATTGATTGATTGATTAATTACTTTTACTATCAGATATTGGGTGTTTGTGTATCTAACTATCAGGGTTCAGAGGTTTACTTTAAAAATGTAATTCAATACAATTACTTGTATTGCCTGTTAAAAAATGTAGTTGACAACCTTATCGAAGTATCACAATATTAAAGTAATGTAACTTTTCTGTTACTCAGTGCCAAATATGCAGATAAAGACAATTCTGTAAGACAACAGAACAATGTAACCTTAGAAAAGAAAATGGAAACCAAGATTTTTAGCATCAAAACGTCTTCTTTACTGTGAAGCTGTTCCACTTTTCTGCTTTAAAGACAAAATACTGCATTGTACATGTGCATGGTAGTAAATTGTACTTATTAAGGCCCAAACAGGAACTGGTTATTATTATTATTATTAATATTATTATTATTATTATTATTATTTTATTACTCAATTATTGCATTTGTAGCTGCCCCAACCAGCTCTAAACTCAGAAAATGTGCCACAAAATTGGGTGAAAATGTACGTATTCTAAGGGTCTTGCATATGGGCATAGCAAAATGGCTCGACAGCGCCCCCTAAAGGCACATTTTACTGATATTTTGAAATTGTAATCCTGCTTACAATCCTCCATTTTAACCGAATGTAACTTTTTTTTCTCTAACTGTATCCTGATTACATAACTCTGTTACATGTTATCTGTTTCTCCCCAATACTGCGAATGATGTGCTCATTTAAATGAGTGAATTATATATCAGCGTCTTTCGAAATGTCTACAGCTGTAATCACTAACAGGATGATCACCTAGCACTCCAGCTGCTGTGCGATCCCGTGTGGCTTTAAAAGAGATTCTACTATTGTGTTTTACAGTATAATTTAAAACAAGTAACTTGATTTATATGTCCAAGCATAATCTTTGCTCTGTCAAATACCACCTTTACATGTCAAAAGCATACAGCTAGACCAAATTCTATTATGTTTACTTTTTTAATGGATCAATAAAAACATACAGAAATCATATTTTTGTCCTCTTCCTTTCTCTTTCTCTCTCACTCACACACACACACTTTATATTGTCCAACATGTACGATTAAGGGGTTTCTTTACATTTATGACACTTTATAATAGAAAAAATCAATGAAATGTTATTATATTAATAATTCATATTAACAAAGAGACCACACGCTTTGTAGTTTCCGAGCAGCCCCTGAACGCAGCACTGGGGCGCAGTTGGCCAGGTTTGGGTGGGATATGGTGCAAAGTTTTGGTTTTGATCTGGATCACCGATATCGAAGAGATATGGATGATAGATGACGGGTTTTTTATTATTAAAAGCAGCTAATGTACTTTTAGAGCAAAACTGATGTTTGATCAGGTGAACATCTGAATTTATTGATTACAGCAGACACATAATTGACATTTTATTGGCTTAATCACATGCTTGTGTGAACACAGTAATAATAACTGTTCATTGTGTCAACTGTCTGAGCTGCGGAGATGCGGATGAGACACCCAGGATGTGATCCAACGTGATGGATCCACTTTGTATCGATCCTGTTGAGGTTGGTATCAATGTTCAGAAGAAGACCTGGTATTAGTATCTCTGGGGTTCAATCCGCCTACCCTGCCCATTTACCACCGGACTGACACGTAGTTATATAACGGTCCAACAGTCTGGCAGCTCAGGGACGGAAATGGAAGCAAATGGAGGGATGTAACCCTTTATCCAGATGCAGTGCGTCTGTATGAGACCACTGACTGTATATACAATGGACAGAGCTTCCGGGTCTGAAAAGTGAAGCTAACCTGGAAGTGTCTTAAACCTGCATTCTATTTAAATTCCAGCAGGTGGCAGCACTGTTGCCTGCAATAACACAGCGATCCCATTCACTTTAATGGAGAAATTAGCCGACTCGACACTTCAATTATGAGCTCAGTAAACAGTTTCCTGATGAGTTTATGGTCTCAGTCGCTAGTTTAACATTTTCTTCAGTACATTATGATGTTCATTTAGTGAATTATGGTCTAATTTAATTTAAAATAGATGATAAAGCAGCGTGTGCTTTTTGGCGGGGCTACTGTTTGATTTACAGGTCACTCTCAACTCTTCGTCCAGTGCAGTGTAGGAAACTAATCAAACTGTCAAACTCGGCAGCGCTGATCAAATACAAAGCTAGATTCTGTTAATGCATTGACTATTTCTCGCTTAAAATCGTTTCAGAAACATATTTTTAGTGAACTGTTTAGCTGTAATACGAGATTGTGTGTGACCAGGCGAGCCGCCATGGGCATAGCCAATTAGCGTATATGAACACGCAGTACGTCACCTCCGCTGGCTTGCGGTGGCTCCATTTTACTGTCATGGTGGCAGCCAAAATGCGAACTGGAGGCTTCAAAACGGTACTCCACAAACCAATGGGTGACGTCATGATAGGTTCACACTTGTATGGGACTGTAGTTGAATGGTGACAAAGCAAGGTAAATGTATGTATCGTCTGCATATTGGAGAATAAGTGATTTTGTTATATAGTGACAAGCAAGTGTATATAATGAAATAAAGTTCATACTGTGGGTAACTGTAGTTGTTTAGTTGATTTATGTTTTAATATACTGCTTTCACATGGTCGGCGTTAAAGAGGTCTTCCAACATCTGGGGAAATATGCATATTTACTTTGTTACACAGAGTAACGTGACAAGATCTGTATCAATTTCAACTCAAACATTGGAAGTAACAAAACATGGCTAGCCTAGCGCAGTCAAACTTAAAATCTGTTAATTTTGTCAAGAAACAATGTGCATGTGTGTTTAATCTGACTTGTTTACAGGTGGAGCTTCGCAACACGCAGAGCACTTAATACTGCACCAATAATGACTTCAGATGTTATAGTGGGAACTGTGGCACCCAAACCAAAAGTACCTTCACGACAATTTCTCAAAATTCCTATGGTTACACCTGGTGCCATCATGAGTTAGTGACGAATCTAACAGATCTCCCACCATTACTACTACTCCTCTACTCCGGTAATGACCAATATCATACATTTCTTTTCTGAGCTGTTGTACCCTTGTGGTATTTCAAGTTATAGGAACCTAAAGGTTGATAATGTTCACTAGGTAATATTTACATGTGTTACTGCTATTTGTCAACCCTTAAAATGTATGGGTACAGCCCTACTGTTCAGACATACATTCAGAAATAAACGCATGCCTAATTCAGCTAGTTCCTCACTCGTAGAATAGTCCAAGGACATGCAGTCTACTGATCTTTGATCATGATGATGACCAGGTCAGGTGCAAGTCTGGAACGTCAAAGGGATCTGACCACCTACCTGAGGGTTTCTCCTTAGACAGTAAGTAGTAGTAAACACTTTAGCAGTGGGTCAACAGAGTAGGAATCAGACTTTTTGAGGGGGACATAGATCTGGCTGTCATCTGCATAGCAGTGAAAAAGAATGCCATGTTTCTTGAAATTGGAACCAAGTGGGAGTAGATAGAGAGAAAATAAAAGAGGGCCAAGCACAGAGCCCTGTGGGACCCCACATGAGAGAGGAGCAGTGGAGGACACAGAGTCTCCAAGGCTGACACAGAAAGTTCGATCAGCCAAGTACGACCTGAACCACTCCAGAGCTATGCCCCTGATGCCCACCCACTGCTTCAAACGTGAGATCAATATTTAATGATCACTGTGTCAAATGCAGCAGTTAAATCTAAAAGCACAAGGATAACACAGTCACCAGAGTCAGTTGCTAAAAAGATGTCATTAAAAACTCTTAAAAGAGCTGATTCTAAAAAGAGCAGGTTTTTTAATTAGAGGTTGTACTGTACTGCATGTTTAAAATTTTCAGGGACCACACCTGAGGACAGACTGCTATTAATGACTGCAATAACAGATGGTCCTACAGTGGGGAAAACCTCCTTAAATAGTCGAGGAGGGACAGCATCATTTGGAAAACCTGAGGGCTTCAAATGACTAACAACCTCCTGTAAAAAGAAAAAAGTCACAGGCTCAAACTGGTCAGAGACAGCAGAGCAGGGGACACAGATTGAGGGGTCATAAGCTGAAGGTGAGATTTGAGCCCTAATTAAAGTGACCTTATTAATAAAAAAGTGAAGGAAGTTTTCACACACAGCAGGGGACGTCTCCATACAGGCAGTCTGCGGAGCATTCAGAAGTGAGTTAATAGTATTAAACAAAACATGAGGCTTGTGACAGTTTGACAGGATAATATACAGATAATATATACGGATAAACACAGTTTTCTGATAATGACGGCAGCAGTCCCTTAACATAGAGGCCATAAGTTGCGGTGATTAATCCCCGTGCCAGGAGGGACGGGGAGAGCAGGGTCCGCGGGGCTGGAATAGCTCTTTCGGGCCGATGACAGGTATCAGCCAGACGTCGACAGGGTCCAGCGGGCGTCGAGGAACAACGAGGCCAGGCACGGCTCATCGCAGTCCAAGAAGGCATAGAACAACGCGCAAGACGGGCCTTCAACCTCACCAGCCGGCCGCTGGGGGGGCGCTACGCCAAGAAGATGGGGCCGGGGCACAGCAAAGGTGAGCTGGGACCCTCGCCAGGAGCCGGGGCAAAGTTTCACGTCCACCATCATCCAATTTTAGTACATCTTCGGCAGAAAATTGAAGATCCAGCAGAGTTTGGCAATCATACACCAGTAGAGAGTTGACATCCAGAGCAAGAAGTAAAACAAACAGCACAAACACAGACAGCACTGGCAGTGACAGAGGGCAGGCCACACACACTGGCACCACCTTGAAACCTGCCCCAACAACAACAATAACAACCACAGCTGCACCAACAACAACAGCCACAGCTGCACCACCGACAACTACAGGTGCACCAACAACAACAACCACAGCTGCACCACCGACAACCACAGCTGCACCAACGACAACAACAACCACAGCTGCACCAATGACAATCACAGCTGGACAAACAACAACAACAACAACAACAACAACCACAGCTGCACCAACAACAACAACAACCACAGCTGCACCACCGACAACCACAGCTGGACCAACAACAACATTAACAACCACAGCTGCACCAAAAACAACAACCACAGCTGCACCAACGACTACAACAACCACAACAACAACCACAGCTGCACCAACGACAGCAACAACCACAGCTTTACCTCCAAAGAAGAATATACCATAAAATGGACACCCACTGAAAATTAAGTGAATGACCATTTCCCCATTTGCTTTCATTTTGAAGCAAGAGATGGGTGAGCTCATTCATAAACTTCCTAGTGCTTTTTTTATACATTACAATACAATTTAATTTATTGCAATTTAATTAAATATTGTTTGTGAAAAATCTAAAATGTATCAGTTATTATTATATTCATCATCACAACCAATTAACACTTTAATAAATATCTAATATGGCACTTCTTATGCAATCATGTTAAAGGTTACAGTTTTTGATTATGTCTTCAAAAATAATGTTTATTTCCTAGTTCATATTTGATGCTATTTAGGGAAACTTAGCATACTGACCAGCTTTATGCTCTATTTCAGACACTACAGGGTCTATCAATCACTGTGAGGTTGCTGATGTTGGGCATGCTTAGTAATTCTTAAAATTGTTTTGTTTTGTTAGTTTTTTACTCTAGAAATTCTAATCAAATCAGGTTGCACTGTTTGGGCAACAAAATGACTTGGTTAGGTTTAGGAAAAGAGCCTTGTTTGAGCATGAATGAATCAAGGGAGAACTGGATACAGTGTTGGAGGGAGTCTCAGTGGCGCATGAAGAAAAAACAAAAAACAAATTTCCCACTGTAAATAAATTCATTGCATGAATGCATACTAGACTTTGACCAGCCCAGCCGTTAACTTATAGAGGGATATTGATATTGAAAAAAGTCATTTCACAGGGGTTGTGACACTCAAGATTTAGAACAGGCTGATATATTAATGGATTATAATTAGATGCATTAACAGGTTCATTCCTTCAATGTTGCTGCAGTTAAAGGTGGAACTAACTTTAT